TGTAGCGGACTAGGACCTAATCAGCGTGTTCGGATAAATTAACAAGCAAAAGTAACCAATGCAAAATCACAAAATCACAATAGGAAAGGAATGAGTAGTCAAATGGGGACTCACGAATGCGTAGGTCCAGTAGTCCACTACACCGATCCAAATGCAGTAACTGGCTGTGAAAGGAAAATATTCACTCGTCGAGATTGCCTGCAGATGGTTCCGTGTGAGTGATATATTCCACGGTAGGAAAATTATTCACGGCTAAAATATGTCACAGGGATTTATTGTGACGTTCAACAGTTGACAAAAACACAGAGATTTAGTCCCACTGGTTCAACGGTCTACAAACAGTTCAACGGGGCGTAAATACAGTCGTTCAGCAAGAAGTCAGCAGGCCACGCCGGAAAATTGTGTATTCGTAACATTAAAACAAACGTCATGATACAATGTGGGCGACAGTTACAAAGTGTGGTTTCAGGTCAGGAAGAATGGCAAATGTGACAACGGATTACAGACACTCCAAATTTTGTGTGTCCGGGACGTGGCCCACTTCAACACCTTAAAACTGGGATGTGACAACGGATTACAGACACTCCAAATTTTGTGTGTCCGGGACGTGGCCCACTTCAACACCACTACTTAAAACTGGGGCGAAAATAATTCGTCACTCTTGAGACGAATCAGCGCACCTTCATCTGTATTAGATACTTTAGATACTTCTTGAAGTCTTCGTAAGTCTGACTCTTGAATACGCCAAACAAGACACCTATTCAGATCACAGAAAACATGGTCCCCGTGGGGCATGTCCAACGAGCTGCAGAGGGAGGACTATCGGTGCGGAATCAGCTGAAAACGAAGTTTCTGGAGATCGCTGTGCAATTTCTTCTTTGCTACCACTGCTTACCAACAGACGTGACACGGAATTACGTCTTGTTTAGATTGTTTGACGGGTACTTTTCGCAATATTGTGTAGTGGTCTGGCTACCCAATAAGTTAGTTTACCAGGAGTGTGCGGTAAAGAAGTAAAAATAATAACGCTAGGCAGGATACACAATAATAAAGAGGTCAGATGGAACAGACTCATTACCAATTGTTTTCTTTAAAATAGTTCATCGTTGGCCAGATCAGCGAATAAACAATAATCCAATTATGGTGGTCCAGGGGTCTTCTCTTGTCAACAGTTCCCACATACAACTGATTCCGAAGATGGTCTGAAATGTTTAAACACCAGAGTTAGCACATGAGACTCGCGAACGACCGCTGCAAGCGTGAGTGAAATCAAGAGAGAGAGTCGAAGCACGTGACCACGCTTGTATTCTGTGAAATTGTACATGCGCGAGTTTTTATAGTTTTTCGCATTCGAACAAAAAGCGATTATGCAACCGGTAAAATACGTAGTGTTATAATGGAAACAAAATAAAGGTAAAAAACGCCACAACTGACCAAAGTATTAAACGGCGAATTTATGGCAAAATTTTCAAGCCTGGAGAATGCACTTTTATTAGAAAGCTTTTTTTCTTACTTGGGGTAGTTCATCCTACACCTATTTTCTCTTTTGCTTTTCAGGTGAACGAAGGGCACTGAAAGAAAAGAGCAAACCCGACTGGAAAAGCTTGGACAAAATCCTCGATCCTATGTATCGATCGGTGGATCCGTAAATTGGGCTGGGAATATATCAGCCAATCAGCACTCTCCATGCTCTGCATCTCATGTTCTTTTAGTAGGCCGAACGCTGACTGCGGGAATGTCTCGTGTGCTGTCCATCCTATCATCCCCTCGGTTGTTCACACTGCCCGCATGTCGTTTCTCTCTTCCAAGAGACGTGAAATATGATCACGGGCCATCTTTCTATGTAATACCAGAAATCTCTGGAGATCTGAGCAGGGGAGTCCCTACCATGGACTTCGAAAGTTTGCCGAAGTATGTACCATTGTTTCCAGTTATCTGATTATCTCAGCAGAATCGAATCCATCACTCCCGACATGGCTTTCAACGGCTTCTCCAGATTGCTTGTAGATTATCAGCTTTCCCTCTCCAGGTTGTCTGAGGATATAAAGCGTGGTGATATTCGTCTGACGTCGAACGTTCTGCTTCATTCTCTAGAAGAAATATTTTATCCTGTCGAACATGGCTTCCAAACCTTACATTCCATACTGTCTTACAACACAGACCCCTTGTGGCCACTGGTCTTGGGTCGACTGTATAGGAAGCTGAGGACGTCCAGAACAGAATATTTCAGAATGGATCCCGATATATACCGCGCTTTGCTAACCGTCAGGGCTAATGATTCAGCGCTTGGTCCCGCTGAAAAAGGTCAGTGGTCATAATTTCAACCTTGGGTCTTCTACGGCAATGGAGTGGAAATTTATGTACTCTGTTTCTGATGGTCTGCGATTTTGCGACTTCGAGTTTCACAACATCGATATGGGACCCAGGTGTGTGTTCTGAAGACAACACGCTTGCGGTGAACGTTAGTATGCGTATTCTTGACTTGGTTTGACAAGCCATCTTCGACTACTCAGTGCGTTATACCAGTGGACCTCCCGTGTAATGTAGACAAATCAAGGGTCCTGTCATTTGTTCAGCGGCTAGGATAGTTCCTGTATTGTGCTTATAGGGGAATTAGGAATGACCTCAATCTCTTATAAAGTACGGTGTTTTGGAATGCACCCAACGCTGCGGAGGTTGTTCTGAGTGACAAGCCTAAGAGGCACACGTGATCTTTGTGATCAGCTGCGAATGAACCAGCTGTTGCATCTATTATTCAAGATATGGAACTCGCTGCCAGGTCAGATTGCTGGGACTGCATTGCTGACGGCTCAGATTACATTTAAGTGATACGTGGCTCTTCGCTGAAATTTTCCCTTTTGTGGCATTGGGAATTCTCTTGTATTGCGTATACGTTTTGGCCATGTTTGATCATGCCTTTGCAGATCTTGTAACATGGACATGTACTCTTTAATTGCGAAGCTGCTTTCTGTGTCGTTCAAAGTAATGCATATTTTAGCAACATCTAGAAAATGCTTAAGATTACTGGTATGTTCAGCTTTCGTTTTACCACATACAATGACGTTATAAATGTAGTTGAACGTGTCTTGTACCTGTTCGGCTTTGATGACATTGTTTATCGTTCTTTGGAAACAGACGACCCCGTTTGTCACGTCCAAAGGAATGCGCCGAAACTGGTATAGGCTCCCGCCGTCTTCAAGTGCAGTAAATGGCTTACCTGACTCGATTATTGGAACCTAATGACATGCATTCTGATGGTCCAGTGTACTGTAGACGGTATCATCATCATCATCACCATCAAAGACAGCAACAGGTGCTTCACCGCCGTATGTAGACGGTGTAGCGTGGGATAGTTTCAATCATGTGATCCACTCTTGCTAAAGGATAGGCGTCAAGGTGGGTAAAGCGAATGATGGTCTGTCTGTAGTCTGATCATGCGTCCCTTGGGGTTCGTAGTGCGCGTTACGAGCACTTGGACTGTCCATAGAGAATTTGATGCTTCGATTATGCCGTCGGTGGGCATTCGGCTACTTCGTTTGGTATGATGACGAAATTTCGCTTGTAATTTGCACCAAGACCAGTAAATAAAGATGGGTATTTAAGTTCCGCGGATATCACGCAAAACACAGTTAGGGGGCTCCGTTGGCTACTGAATGGAATTTCAACCGCAAGAAGTTATGTCCGACAAGGACATCTGTACACAGGTTCACTAATACACAAAGTTTTAGCCCTTCGTATGTGGCATCTGTGTACCGAATGGACACGAGGCAATGACGTTTGGTGGAATGCGAATGTCTCATCGACGCCATTGTTATCACATAATCATACGAAAATGGTTTCCAGTTATGAGTGTGTATGACTGATGCAGAATTCATGGAGCTCCCGGTATCAGTGAGCTCGGACAGCAAAGCCATTGACCAAAATATCTGTTATGGTTTTAGATAGGCAATGGGGATCAGCGACAGAGAACAACGAAGAGATTGAGAAGTTTGAATTGAACCCCATTTTGGGGTTTTGGACCTACAGACGCGTTGATAGTGCCCTAATTTCCTACAATGTTTCAGCTGGACACCTATTGCAAGGGTGTCTGGGTTTCCCACAAAAGTAACTTGCTTGTCATGTGGCGGCAGAAACTATTGTTTCGGCATTAACAGGGGGCGAAAGGGTAGTCACAGAACAAGTAACGGATTGTTCGTATATGTAAGATTGTGACTGTTTTTGCGCAATTTCGGGAGATCATGTGGCTTCGTGAGCTTGGTCAAGGCCTAATTCATACCAAGTTAGCAGGTTTATCCAAAATAATGCTCGACTGCAATCCGGTTATAAAAACATCTCGAACTGTTTTGTTTATGCATTTCACAGCAGACACTGATTCGAATTCACACTCTTTAGCAGACGACTTCAGTTTTTGAACGAACTGGTCACCGTCTTGACCGGGTTGTCGTCTACATATCTAAGTGTTGGCTTGCATGCACGATATTTTCCGGCAGACTATAGAGTTTCTGCAGTAAGGTTATCGCAGAACCTCAATGGGAACATTCTGCAGTGTGACGTGCAGTGGACGATGAAATTGTTGAGAGGGTTGAGTGGTTCCAGGTGTAGATTAGAAGGAAGGCTAGAGTACGTGAGCTGGAAATACGGAGTGGAAATTACTAGTGAATGATAGGTAAAAAGTATGGTTTACATAGTCATGACACTGCTGTAGACTGCGTTGGTCGGCGAATCTGTCTACATCCTCCGCAGAATGAAGGTTCATGGCCGATAAATTATAGCTGCCATGCCACCCAAAGCAAACGCGAAGGCTAAGATGCCGTCAGGTTTCCCAAGGAAAGACAGGAGCAGTCAAGATACCGGGGTCGGGTTCGAACCGAGAACCATTGGGTCAGTAATTTCGCGGCTTAAACACTGAACTTTCGTGAACTTCATCCCATAGTGTTCATTGACGGTTAGACACATTATCCACTAAACCCCGAAAATGGCCCATTTCGTGCTACATTGCATGTCAGTCTGTTTAAACAAGCCGGATTGTGAAACGAACAAAAAAGACAAAAAAGCCTAGTTTAGATTTACCATGAACACCTGAGTTTCCTACTCCTCTATGACCGAGCTTCTGCAGCTTATCACGCAAGGTGTATCCCATAAGTAAAAGAAGGTCTATTTTGGCTGTTTTTTTGGGGTCGAAGATCCTAGATCCTCCATCGTGATGTCTGCCAACCGTACTGCAAGGTGATAAAGGTGAACCTTGAGGCTATAGTTAATATATATTCGCGAGGAAAATTCTGGCGTTTTAATTCGTTTACTGTCAGAACTCATGCAGTTTTCGACATCGTTTTCACTTCGAGCGTCTTCGCCTCGTATGCCTCTTATTCAAATTTGAGAGTCATTCTTGAACCGTGCCTTGAAACATGAATTTACTCGTAACGGATGCGGGGTATATGCTGAAGGATGGAGTGACTCTGGTCAACTTACACAGTACTGCTTTTCTTTCTTGCCCATTTGAAAAAATCAGGATAGCCGCATCTTCGAACTACAAATAAGCAAGGTCCTCTCCCGCAGCAATATCAAATTCTAGCGACCCTCCAGTTTCTCAGTCACAAAATCAATAAACAATGGAGTGTACCTTGTCGGACACCACGTTTAGAGAAACTGTCGGTGGTCTTCCAAATTCTTGCTCATCTACAAGCTTGTGATAGTGAAACATTATCTCCAAATACCTGGTGTAAACGATTGTTTAGGAGAATTATCTCATCGGTGTACTGGGAAAGCCAAATTCTGAGTCTGATGTGTCTGATCTATCTACCGGTGTCTTGGTATTCCATGTGCCTTGATGTATGAAAAATAAAAATCGCTCAGCTGTGGCACTCTTTCGGTGCCTAAATGTCATCCCGCCCGAAGGAAGCACGAGGGCTGGGATACTGCCAGGTTGCCCAAGCCTAGACGGGAGAAGTCGACAGGCAGAGGCCGGGTTCGAACCACGGACCTTCCGGTCGGTAAATTCGCGCTCTAACTACTTGAGCCATCTCGCTCCTTGAGATATGGCGTTGTGTGCTACACGCAGTTATATTGCCGGCCGCATTCATTGGTTATATTGTGATGAAGTTCGAAGTTGAAGAAATCAATTCACTGTTTGGACATGAGCTCACCGTTGGCGCATTTCCCTGAGCGTCAATAGCGAGGGCTTCATTATAGCTTCCTGTCTATGTTTGCGGTTCGTCTACATCGTGGAAGTTGGTTCAAGCTTGTGGTTTGCTTTTGTTTGGCATAATTTCCCGTCACGAAGAGACTGGACCTTACCGTGGTGTGACGGTTTGCGTACTTCAGTGACCCATCGAGATATACTGGGGGGTGTCCCCGCGACACTCGCAAAGTCTCTCAGGTTGATCTATGGTTAAAGGTCTGACGAACACGTTATCCTGGTCATCCAGGTTGGAGTTTGAACATGTGGCGACTTGCTTAGTAGAAATGGCAATGTATTTGCACTTCCCGTCAAACACCGCTGCCTTGCGGTTAGGCTTTTGAGCCAAGGGCTTCGGTTGAAGACCCTAATCATTCTCCTGTCTAGGTGTGGGCGCCCTGACAGTATCCCAGCCTACGTACAACTATGAACTGCACGTATACAGATAAACTCAAGCCACATCGGCCGCCGCCTGGTGCCATCAACCGGGTTGCCTTGCTCGCTGCATAAAGTCGATCGGGTAAGCGAAAACTGGCTACTGCTTATGCCTACCTTCTCTTTTACATACTTTTTCTCCTCTTCCCACCCCAATAATGATTCTACCCTTGTAGGCCCAGCACTTAGGACTGATAATTTCGTCCGTCTCTCATCGGTTTTGCGTACAGCATCTGCTCGTCACATTGCGCTGACATTCTCAGGTATCTCCAAATCAATCTTCAAGCCTCACTCAGTCTATCTGGCCGCCTTCAATGTCCGCACTTTGAAGCAAGCAGGACAACTAGCTGCTCTTGCTCTCACACTGGACTCGCTTGGCATTGATGTGTGCTGTGTCTCAGAAACAAGAATCCAAGATGAAAGCACAGTGATTGAGTTAACCGCTCCGTTAGTCTCCACTTTCTTCCGGCTGCGCACCTCTGGTGATCAAGAGGCTGATGCAGCGAGATGTGCGGCGATTGGTATCTTCCTAAGTCAGCGGGCGGAAGTATCTGTTGATAGTCGCCTCTGTGCTGTTTGTCTAGCAACGTCTGTGAAGGAGTCTCACGAGCGGGAAGTTGATAGATGTCTGTTCATCGTATCTGCTTGAACCCCAACTGACTCTAGCTACGACACCGTCAAAGACAGGTTTCACGATGCCCTGTTACGGCTAGCTAAAAGCTCAGATGTGGTGGTTGCCGGAAATATGAATGCACAAGTGGGTAGGTTTAGTGTATCTGAGACTCAGTTAGTAGATCGACAGGGATTGGACTTCGTACGTACGAACAGTGGTAAACGACTGCGTCAGCTGTGCGCTAATCGCAGACAGTTTTTATGCAGTACTAATTTCCGGAATAGCCGAAGTCGTCTAGCCACATGATGTCATCAGCATGGTGTCCAACGGCATGCCGGCCACAAACTCAAATCGATCACATAGCTATCAGTTATCGATGGCGTGGATCAATAAATGACTATCGGCTGTTTTGGAACACATATGTGGATTCCAACCACGCACTCGTCCGTATTCACTTTTCCCCACGTTTTCCAGGGCCGTGTAAGGTGCGGACGACAGTGAAGCGGTGTTGAACACTGATGTCATGCTGTCGATGATGATGATGATGGGCATGATCTGTGGCGTTTGTCCATTACCTCTAGGGTTCCATTGCTTCTTGGGTTCGTCAGTGCATGGATTTTTTTCGACCTGACTAGTAGTTGTATGCAACCCTCCTTTTCACCTTTTCATAAAAATCCATTTTTCACCATGTCTATATCATACAGCTATGCTAGAAGTGCTTATTCTTGAGTGCTGGAGACATGGCAGTGCTCTCGCACTTGCAGCGTCTGGATCATTGTCGCCTCAGTCCTCGTCCACTTCCTCCAATGTAACTGTGAAGAAGACCAAGCAAACGTCGGACGATGTCGTACCGGATCTACCCACACTCTCGCATTCTGATGCCAAGGAGAAACTCGATCGCCTGCATAATCTTCAAGCAGAACTACAGAAAGAAGAACAATTATTTCAAGGAATGGTATGGGCTACATCTGCCGTATCTGGAACCCAGACTGGATACTATCGTTCCACTGGGCGATACCCCAATCCAACAGAGTTGACTTATCTGGTGGGTGCTGCTAATATTCCCGTAGCTGAGTCTGATCTGGCCCCGTCAACACCACCCTGGTTACCGGTGGCTCTCGGTGGACAGCAAAATGGGGGACATATAGCCGATATGAAAATCAATATTGCTTCGGATGCAGTTGTTCACTCCTTGCTGTGTCACTGCAGTACCCGACAGGTGAGAAGATGTAACGTACCGGTTGTGTTTATTTCCCACCACCATACTTGACTCGGTTTCCCAATTGATAGTAGTACCATTGTTTTCATAGACACTCTCCGTCAAGCGGAATAGTACGTCAGTGAAGCATCGGTGTTGAACACTGATGTCATGCTGTCAATGATGATGATGATGGTGAAGCGGAATAGATAGGCTGTGAGTTGGCTCAACCTATTCCAGTCAGTACAAACGTTTTATGAAGTGCTTATATGCTTTATATATACCTTGTGTACCGCATAAAAATCTTACTTCTGCTTGTGGCTTGGCTACCTTTGCGTCTTATTCACTTCACATATACGTAGTTGTCTCCATGGAGAGACAAATTAACTGACTAAAATAGTACTCTTTTGAGTGTTTTCTCATGAGACGACCAGAGGGATGCTGTTTAGGGGTACTACACTGCCCGACAGTGATGCATGTTTCAAATCGTGTCCACTGGCCAACGTTTTTAGTATTTTTGATCGCGATGGATTGCCTTTGTCGTTCCATTGCTTTGATTCTTTATGGGAATAGTCTGGTGCTGTCTGAAGCTACCATAGTGGAAATCATTCCATTCGGGATGCCTACCAGTCTTGCAGAATGTTAGTACGTCACACCATCTCGCTCCTTGTCAGTTGTGAGTGGATTTTCAGCTGTATACTGCTCTACATATATAATACTTTACATATGTGAAAACGATTAGTAGTCGTCAAAGCTGTGTTCAGGCGCTTTTAAAACACCGCATACAATCCAGGCTGCGGAAATTAGGGATATTTTTCGCCATTCTGTAATATCTGGGAAATTATTCCTACTGTACTCTTAACTGAACAACAGATTAGCCGGATTTCAGACAAGTGTAGCGTTTGTGATTTTGTCGTCAAGCGTGTACTGGTTTTCTTTATATATATATTTTAACGCTCGTAGCGATTTCCCCCAAAACGCACTATTCCATATCTAACTGGGTATCGAGACAGACGAATTCGGCTGCTTTAGAGAAGTATCCGTATCATGCAGGGACAAATAGTTCGACGCTTGCTGATGTCTTGGGCAGCCACACAGTGATGTGAATAGATTTCAGCCCGATCAATATCGGGCTCAGCGATCTGTACGATAGACGTTGACGAAGTATGGGGAAACCGGTACAATGTTAACAGCGACTGGGTTTGTCACTGTTTTCTCTTCGTGAGTGAATATCTAAGAAATCAACCCAAAGATGTGCTAGTTTTTACTGTCTACTTGGATGGGGCTCCCGAGACGGGACACATCGCTAAAGACAATATCTAAGAAATCAACCCAAAGATGTGCTAGTTTTTACTGTCTACTTGGATGGGGCTCCCGAGACGGGACACATCAATGGCTAAAGACATTGTCAGGTGTGAGCCAATCACGCGCTTATTGGGGCGCATGCATGTTAGATGCTCTATTTACTTCATAGCTTCCCTTTCCAATCTCTGCAATGAACAGCTCTCTGACTCTCTTGTATTCACGTACCAATTATGTCGTGCACCGCTTCCATTGTGGTGTCACCCATCTTTATCTCCCCATATTATCGGCGGACGAGACTGTATCACATGTACGCAGTTTCTTACGGCTGATGATGAGAAGAGTAAACAACTGTAGGATTAATGGGGTCGCCATACTGAAGTCAAGTACTGAGGAGTCCGCAGTATCGCCAAGAAAAGTATTTGACAGGCCGTATCTTCGGGTAAGTTATGGTGAGCGATGTTGCAGCATGCGTTAACAACGATAAGTACTTCCGGCCGACCAAGTGGTGAAGACTAGCGGACCAGGATAGCAGTAACCAATGGACAGTGGTCTTCTGTGTTTCGGTCACTTTGCGGTGGAGCATCACCTCACATTCACCTACAGTCTGCGAACCGAAGAGATAGATATTTTAATGCGCTTCTCCGAACAACGTCTATGTGTTGTTTACACTGCACAACTTTTGCTACACAGATTTTGTGCAGAACTTCGCAATATCATTGGTGTTGCAAGTAAGCTGGTCACCGATTTCTTTGGAAAGTCTTATGGGCCAAGTGAGTCTTATTTTCAGGACAAGTCAGCGAGTTTAGGAAGGTTGGCACGCAAATTTGAAAAGATACGGGTTTTTGGAATCCCAGTGGTAACACACATGTGTAAATGCAGTCGCCTGAGTTGTACAGAGGATTTAGACATCCGGATTTAGTGGAAACTTGTGGCCTTTATACGCACCGTTCTTTGAATGGAAACGTGCACGTTGACTAATATTGTCAACCTTGACCCTGTTGACCTTGAAGGACATGCACCCTTGGATGTCATCCATGCGTGGGAATCCAAGTCATATTAGAAGTAAGTAGGCAGCATGTTCAATGCCTTTTCGTATATGGGCATTACAGTACAGCAGTTGTGCACTCCGCGCTTTCCTTTGCGGTCCATTTTGTCTTGACCAAATCTTTTTCTCTATTCTACAGGTTCGTCAAATTGTCTGGTCTCATTGGGTACAGCGATCAAGTCTGCGTGTATTCGGTGGTAGCACCGGCCAGCATGCATCCAACGACTCTCGAATGCAAACTATTCGGCGTATACGACGAGACGTCGCTGAGTGTTTGGGTTGTGAAGATTGGTTAAGCTTGATGTGGCGTTCACCGTACATGCGAATGCCAACGTCCAGTGAAGCCTTAGTCTCCAATGTGCTGGAGCCGTTGCGTACAGAATTGAAGCCGATAGGGCAGATCGAATTACAGCTGTTAAGTGAATGGTCCAGTGCGTATCTGGACTTGCCTGGTAAGTTGCATTTACGTTCCTTGTGCATCGGCTCTGGTGTTTCCCCCTGTCACCTGCTGGTGATTGGTGTCTTGCAGTCAGGCCAAGACTGCGGATCACACACTTTGCATCTTTCCTAATTTCACTTCTGATCTGCTCTTGATACTCGTGTACCTAGAGGTTTTCCTGAAAGCTGGGATTCGAACACGAGGGCACTCGTGATCTGTTTTGTTCGTAGGCTTGTCGGGCATCCGCTGTGATTGAGAGGCGTCAAGTCGGTGTTAATAAACGCCAAGTACACACCTACCGCTCATCATATGGGCTATATTATTTTTTACTTTCATCCTAATTGAATAGCTTGTCATTCCCTCCAATTAACGACCATTCCGGGAGCCTTGGGCAACCCGCAAGTACCTCAACCCTCATGTTTCGTTCGAGTGGCTTGGCAGCGAGACTCAGAAAGTTTGTTACAACTGGGGTATACACTGGGATGCATTGTGTCATCTACAAGCAGACTGCTCAGCACACCGCGCATATCTGTCGCTGCTTTTCGTGCATTCGGTCGACTGCGGCTCTATGAGGGCCGACCATTTCTCATTTTGATGTCCTATCGGCTGAGTCTCTTTGTACCTTCTCAGGATAGGAATCGGTTTGTGTCACCACTTACGTCCAGTACTAATTTTACTGTTCCTTAATGTGGCTGACTCCCGTGGCTGGATAAGCCAACTCCGTAAACATTCTCATACAAATGCTATCCGCAGCACCACTTGGCTTTGGGTTCTGACGTGCTCCTTTAGCATTTGCACAGTGATTTCCAACCTTCAGTGCAGCACGTAACTTGCGTGTAACTGTTGAACGGCGCCGCCATCTTTGTTGTCGTCGTTGGATTCCAAAAGCGATATCGTCCTTCAAATTTGCGGGAGCCAACCCATTCACGTCACTGTCGGTTTGGTATCAGGGTTCGGCCAGCTCCTCTAGACGGACAATCGTGCCTGACACCCAGGTTTACCTCTATAGTGGAAATGGCTATGCTGCGAGAAGGTAGCCAAGAGAACTTCCTCGGTAGAGGCTATATGGCGGTAGTTCTATTAGAGCATTTCAGCGAGTGACTTTATTTGTGCCACAAGACGCCTACGGCCGGTATCTTACAAAAGTTAACGAAGGCTAGCTTGTGAATCTCGTGATGACTTGTACTCTTTCCACAAAACCTCCTTATGTGTGGAAACTGGTGAGATACGTCCATATTCTTTCGAGCGATAAGTCGCTTACCACCGATTAGATGTACGTTGTTTAAAGTGCTAGCTTCAAAAGAAGAGTAGGTTTATCTCAATGCCAACGCATTGTATTTTTTAACGAGAAGCAAGGGACATCAGATGTTGGAGCATGGTGCGTATTCTTATGTTTCTGTATAACTTATGTAGCCAGTAAACAGCTTGTTCGGACGTTTGATGATGCACAGAAGGACCAGACCGGGAGAGACGGCAATGGGACGAATTAAGGTTGCCGTTCCACTAAAGCCGCCGTTCCACTAAGTAAGCGATTGACCACTTCCGAATTCGCGCTCCTCAAACTAGAATTTCTCCCAGAGATTATATCGCTTAAATTTCACTTCCGTAACTGTCTACTTGTCATATTGTCAGAATAAGTCCCGTTTATCATTATGATAGACACAAACAGTTCTAGCAGGACCGCCAGTTGGCTGGCTTCCAACCGGACTCCATTTTACTCGACCAGTCAACTGCCACTCACCGAGCGGAACAATGATATCTAGAATATCGTTCCAACTGAAACATAAGGCGGCCTGGCGCAGCGCATTCAGTCACTTAGAAACATCGTAAACGAGTGATTCAGTTGGGTTCTGGTTGAGTCTCCTGCAAAACCAATATTTGTTTGCAAATGAGTGTATTTCGTTAGTACATCTTGTTATACCAACCCCCCAACGTTATAAAATCTTCCCCTAGCTGACATCTTTCCCGTTATGGAGAGGTTATGCGAAAAAGCAAACTGCATTTTCAGCTAATATCGCAATGTTGCTACCCATTATTCGGTACACCTAGCGGAATACATTGCTTGCCAATTGACACAAGGTTTTTTACAATTAAGGAAAATATCGGTAGCGTAGGTTGTAAAACGACTCGATCTGTTCGTTAGTCGGTCACCATATTGTCTAGTTCAGCGATCAGACCAACAATCTTCTGTTTATTCTTGAAGCTGCAATCTATGGTACCAATGGATCTATCAAAACCTCTGTATTGACTGACTTTTAGGTACCAAGCTAGAAGCCTGGGACATCGCTTACGCAATCGAACAGTACAACTTCGCTGCTTCAGATGCTGAACTACAGACGATGATCACGCCTCCAGAGGGTGGCCGTCTCACTACACACGTACATGCGCTTCTGGATCAGTTGGCCAATTTATTCCGATTGCAACTGGTCCCCTCCACTAGGTCGGATACTGACCTCCCTGTATATAACCTGGAGGATATGGATGATGGAAAGTTCTTCGGACAAATCATCTTTGATTTATTCCACCAGTAAGTTTGGTTTCCCTTCGCTATTATGCCACTATAAGTCCTCCTGGCGTTTTAATTGTGAGTGAACCGGGTCTTTTCAGGCTTAATACCTCGTCTCCGAAAAAAGGTTCCATCCTGGGAGGGGCTATTCGTTCTGTTTACTCTCCAAAGCACTTTTCTGGTGGTGGTTCCTCTAGTCTGCAGGATTACCGTAGCTGATGGGGTTAGGCAAGAGTTTCTTTCCCAAAGGCTTGTGGTTCATATCCAGTTCCTGACTGTTTGATTATTGCAGTCTAGACTTGGACAAGCTGAACTACTCTCAGCCCTATTACTTCCCTTCATCAACAGCTATGTACTGAAATTGTATCAGAGCTGAATTTTTCTACTTTGTAAGCAGAAGGAATTTCATCATATATTGGTTTCACTATGCTATACTTGTTCGACTCTGTTGGAAATAAAATAAATAATAATCGTTCATTTATAGACCCCGTCGGTGCCACCCGAAGGATGCACGAGGACTGGGATACTGCCAGTCCAAGTTTAAAAATGGGAAGTCGGGGTGCAGAGATCGGGTTCAAACCACGGACCTTTCACGGCTCTAACCACTGAGACATCTTGCCCTCTGTTTAGAATAATCATCATTCTAACGAGTCTCGTTCCTCATTTCAACCTTTGACTAGTAGGTCTGACACCAATCACATGTTGAGCACTACCGGTAACTTCTGTTTTGTCAGTTAAATCATCGCGCCGATGTCTGCGTGCACCTTTAAGCTGGTTGTCCATCATTCATGCAACCCGTCCATCCTCTCAGCGAAGTTAGTCGTTTGGTGATGGAGAAATGTATCACTATCTTAAGTCTCCATTTTAGATGGCCCTCTAACGATCACCAAGGATGTGATTTTGCTGGGTTAACACTATGCCGTTACACGAACTGAGCTGTTCATATGGTGTTCAAGTCTCGTGGAAATCACATGCCTTTGTTGGACGGTGGATAAAAGACAGCGCAAATTTGATCTCCGGTTTGTAGTCAATCAATCTGACCTAGTGGATTAGTTCACTGATTTCCGCTATCCATGGTCGAGTATTTCATTCTGTCTGGCGGTACCCGTCCTAATATGTGCACATTTCGTTTCAGAAATAGAGACCTAATTAAAATAAATAAGTACAGGAATAATAGCAAACAGCCTCTAAGATCCGCGCACTTCGTAGGTGAACCGCTTCTCCCAATTCCTATCCGACCTTCCTCAGCATTGCTCAGTCGATCTTACCACTTGACTTGACCAAACCTGGGCCATGCTCTGAATACTCTTTAACCCGTGGGAACCATTTTACATTTTCGCTACGTATTAAACATGTTTGATCCTTAGCAGTGTTGTTGACCCTACCTTTGACGCATAGGTGGACATCAGAACGGCCTCATAATAGTCCGAATGTAACAAAAGCCCACCTGTCTTCAGCTAGTGATTTCATCTTTCTGTAGTTCTGAATGTACACAGCTGCTCGACTAGATGAATTTACCTACCACGTGCATCGACTCAGCTCCAAGCACCCTGTCTTGCTGTAACAGTTTCCATATTGCAAATGTAAGACTCCCAGTTGTTAAAAAGTGGAGTAATCACAGTTGAAGAACCTGCTACCCCATTCGGAAGTACGCTTTAGTACTCAAGTGAGCTCCCAGCCAGGTTAACAGTATTTGCTGTACCTGAAACCACCCCTAAATTGCATCCTGCGAGTATCTACAAGACCTGATTTTGCGAGTTTGCCGCATTAGTTTGAAACTCTAGGTGAACTGCTGTCGCAGACTCCCACACACTGCACAAGTTTCTTGCTTCCATTTTCTTCGCGTCTCGCGATCACGAAAAACCCTTGTTCTGTCTGCTGTTTGTGTTTTGCATGGATGACGGCGATGTCACAGAAGCTAGAGCCATCCGCATACATCGTTGCCGCTCAATCCAAGGTATGCATTCAAAACACTAGCTTACTTTCCTCTGCGCCGGGCAGATGATGTGCAGTACAGATTGACGTTGGGGTCAGCTTGATGGACCCACACACCTGGCTCGTTATCTATCCACAGAATTAGCTATGACGTGAACTGACCACTGGCTGTGGGAACACTTTGATCCGTTTCGTCCTGAAATTCGCACCGCTGATGATTCCAACTAAGG